CCCCCCACCCCCTCACCCGAAATCCCAGCCTTACAGCTCTTTTGGTTCCTGAAATAATAATTTTCCCTTGCGGAGCCGTACAAGTTACCCACGGACACAGGAAGGCTGATTTTAAATTTGCAGGGAACATTCTACCAAAATTTCAGCATCCCAGTCGAAAGTGCGAGACAAAATGCACTAGGACCGACGCACAACAACCCATGACGATCTGCGTTTTGTGGTGCTGTTACACAACGTAACAGCACATTTAAAAAAAGTTAAATAACGGAGATAAAAACGAATGTATGTTCACAAGAAACTACCTTTATAGAGCCATGGCCATGTCTCCATTCCTTCAAATCGCGGCAGCTTGGATGTCTTCGCAGGTTACACTAAAATTGAAAATCGCATAAACAATAAAAAAACTAAAACGCCGTATACTTACAAAGTACATGGAATATGAAAGAACGAATACATACACGAATCTGATGAGTCTGAAAGAAACGCAACGCTTGGGCACCACGCAACGATCCTGCAGTACTACCTGTCAAAATTCCGCCCATATCTGTAACTTTGACCTGAAAAAGAGAAATGCTAGTCCAGCACAGTTGCGCTTCTCAAAACAAATAAGCAAAATAAGAAAAATGAAATAAAAACAAAAGTTTAGAAACAAAAGTCCATTTGCAGGACATTCGAGGCAAAAATTCGCGAAAACAGGCCCAATGGCCGCATAATGCTCTTACGGGGAAAGTCTCAATCTCTCTGTGTTAAAAGTTGCATAGAATTTAAGTTGTAAGCAGACTTATTCCTATGACATACATTAGTATCAATTTACCATCAAATGGAATCGTAAAGAGCCTATTTACCCCACTGGCGGAAAAAACCAACCACCAAAGCAGTACTTGCCATTTTACTAGTAAGGCTGGTAGAAAAAATTCAGTGGTAACACGGAAAATTAAACAAACCTGAAAATGTTCATGCTGAGCCACTGAAGCGAGCAATTTTGTGACCAAAGTTTCGAATGCAGCCCAGCATTCCGATTCGTCGGCTGGTCTCAAATTGTCTGGCTGAAAACAGGACAAAAATAATCACAGAAACACAGGAGAATAAAATCAGGACAAAAAAAGCAAATCGATGAAGCCAGGAATGCCAAACCACCAGTACACATATGTCTAAGCGGATGTGTAAAAACTGTTAAAATAGTCTTTGCAAATGAATATGAAGAAGCTGGCAATGTTCAAGCACCTGAAGCACAAATAGGTCGATGTTAAAGTACAAAGACCGTCTAAATTAACAGTTCCGGACCAGGGAAAGCGAATATCCCGGTGATAAAATGTACAGAAGACTGTATCCCTGATAATTAAGACTGTACACTTCCTAACTGACACAGGGAGATGAAATTCAGCCGACCGGGCCGTGCGCAGCCACCACGCATAACGGGGAGCTGAATTTGGTAAATTCAAGTTGTAGATGTGTTGAGAACATTTCCTGAAAGTTTCAGCCTCCCAGCTTAAGGCCCCGATCGGTTAGACAAAAAATTACAAACAGTTCTGTGCGGGGTAGGCCTCTTTATGAAGCAAAATAATGAAGCAAAACAAGGGATAACTTACATGTAGAGACATGAAAACTGCAGCAAAACGTTTTAAACGAAGTTTACGAGGTGGCTGATGTAATGAGGAGGTACTGGTAAGATATGTACAGAGTGAAGTAAGCACACCACTGTGATTCATTTCGAAGGCACTGACATCGTTCTCCAGCAAAATTGTCTGCAAAGAAAAACAATCGTGAAACAAGCTGCTCGTGTGATGTGGCTTAGGGATCACCAAAGGAACGGTGTCCGTATGCTAAGAAATGACCTGGCATCGTTATTGGGGCTAAAGGAAGGTTCAATATGCACAGATACTCGGCACACGGTGTGCCAAACTTCCCGACAACAAACAGTCTTACTTTAAATTCCGTAAGCGGTGCACTTCCGACATCCTTATCACTGACCAGTGCTGCTGCTATGGTGGTCATACGAGCGAGAAGAGACGATGTTGCTCCGTCCGCGCCGGCTGCTGACATCGGGAAGTATGTGTTGATCAGAAATTCCGCTGAAATGAAACATAAAAGGCGCTTGCTCCCTCACAGTAACCGCACTTTCCAGACTAGACTTCTACAGCACTCCTAAATTTCACGGCACACAGCAAGAAGTGAACTTGGAAAAGCAAAATTCAGCATGTTTTTCTAGGCGATCATCGAAAGGAACAGCTGAAACAAGTACACAGACGACGGCAACAAACCTTCTTTACGTATCCACTGACGAACTTTTTCTCGCTGCTGGTGATTTAACACGGACACGGTCGAAGAGGCCATTGGCAAAACGAATGAAGTCGGACCGGCTCCTGAGGACTGCATCAGGACGGTTGAATATGAGGGGCCCACAACTGCCGACGAAAATGAGGGCATGTAGCGCACAGCAGTACGCGATCCGGATGCCTGAGCAGAAGCTGGTGCGCTTGCTGAGCCACTCGAACCTGAACAACCGAACACAACGTTTCATACTCTTTGAAGCACACTACAACTGATGGTGTATTTAAAGATTCGACGCTATCGAGTCCCATGCAAGTGCCACACGCTCAGTTCCAGGAAAAGACGAAGCAACGAATATGTCTCTCAACTATAATGCCAACTTCCGCTGCCCTCCAGCGCCCACATACTATCACAGTTTGATGTCTCAAAAAGTAAAAAATTACGTAACCATTCGGATAATTTCTCGATCTTGCCTCCTTCCCCTCAATTATGCAACGGAACTAACGCCACCTGACCCAGCCGGAGAACTGGCAGAATCACCACCCTTTTCTGTGTAAGCAAAAGAAAATACAATTGAAGGCTACCTGGATAATGATGCGCTGACGCTGACAGGGACTGATTGATAGAAGCAAAAATGGACGTGAGGGTGGTACCTGGTGATATACCTTCATGTGGCGAGTGCGCAGCCGACGACGAGGCAGCCGACATGCGGAATGACGGAAGGCGCAACGAGTGCAAGAAAGTCGACGTTGCTGCTCTACGACGTGATTCTTTTCTTGAAATTGGACTGCAATAATGTTTTCGCCTTGTTTGGCGCGAGATTATGCATTCATGTTTTTTATGCGTTTTGTGCTGTATAACAGCAGCACGAAACGCATGTGTGTGTGTGTGTGTCCGTAACTTTCAACTCGAGAACCACAAAAGCTAGGAACCGAAAATTTAGGGAACGCTCCCATCCAGGGGTGACCCGAAAATTTAAATTCAGCCTCCCCATATCCGTGGGAAACACGT